ACGATTTAGCGTGCTTTTGAAAGAAAGTGGCAACAATGATAGAATGTTTAGACCTATGGAAAACTGCAGAGATGAAAATTATACAGATGTATATTATGTAATTGTATTTTTTTTTTTTTTTTTCAAATCAATGCTCACTTTCTATAGAGATTTTTCTGTAACTTTTCTTGGGGTCAGTCGGCAAAGAACGAATCGTATATATTTGTTCGTTTCGGTTAGTGTGTAACAGGAAAACAAAAAGAACTGGAAAGACACATTTACAAATCATATAAACGCCCAAAGGCGATGCTTCAACACTGCAGAACAGCGAGGAGATAAGAGGATACTGAGAGGAAAGTGGTGGTGTTGAGGTTGTAGCAGACAGGGAAAAAGGGTACAGGAAGGGGATTTTCGGGGACGGGGAAGCGATAGATAACAAAGAAATACAACTTCGAAGGCATTTTCTAACAGCTGCAAAGCCTTAAACCTGTGAATACAGCATTCATTGGGCCACAAAATAGCAGCATTCCTTAAACTCCATACAGATCTCTATGTTATATTCAGTCAATGAATCGTTTATTTGCGTTTTTGACTTCTGACCTTAGATAGCACTGTACCACAGGATGTTTCCTGATTATCTTTTGCATTTTTCTTTGTTAAATTAATTTGTGATACCATATTGCGTGCTGCATTTATTCATACGCTGTTCTGAATGGTTGGTACAAACTGACTTCCATCGTTTGTCAGGGATTTCGCAAAATAACCACTGTTCTTTCTGTCGAAAATTTCTGTTCATTTTACGATTTGGAAAGAGGATTTGTCGAAAACTCAGGTAGAAGAACAGAACTACACAGAAGTTCTTTATCAAACAGCTTTACGTACCAAACGTTCATGTCTTATAGCATAAATATACGACTTTTTTTGTCTATTTATCAGCAACTAATATAACTCATAGATTTGTCGTATATGTTGTTGATGTGAGTAGAAAATTATAGTTCAAATCTTGGTCATAGTTTAAAATTTACTGTCTGATTTTTCACCAGGTAGATGAAAAGTATAGTTTAAATCTTGGTCATAGTTTAAAAATTACTGTCTGATGTTTCACCAGGTAGATGTCATTTTTAAACTTTTGCTGGTCTAGCAGATCACTGTCATGTAGTTTTTGTTAATGCTGCTAATATTTCTCAACTGTTGTTTTATTTCACAAAAATGTTTGTTTATTCTTATCCTTGTTTTTTTTTATCTTTGCTTCTTCATTTTGTTGTTACATTGATTAAATCACAACTCTAAGAAATCTGAACCAGTTGAGTGCTTTTTTTTGTTTGCGATAAAAGTTAAACGGCAGTTAATTAGAGAGATGTTTTTAAGAGTTCCAAATTTTTGTATGAATCCTCAGTGAAATAAATTACGGAAGCCTGTTCAAACTAAGCTGGAGTTTTTTTTTGAAAAAAAAATTTTTTTGTTAATATTAAGGTAAGTTATTCAAAGGAAGCAGTAACTGGTCTTTTTGAAAGGAGTGCTTTTAACATTACAACCAGTGCTGGATTCTTCACGAAATATTGTTGTTTTTTTCCTTTATTCTGATTTTCTGTTTTTTTCGTCACGCTTCTATTCAAAAATCTGACTGGAGAATTAGGTAAAATGAATAGCTTTAAGGCTGACCTTCTTTCCTGAGAATGGCGGTGGAAGGATTTTGGTTGTTCGAAGGTTTAGAAGAAGAACCATACGGCTTGTTGCCCCTAGCAAATCTTTCCGGAAAAGGTGGTCCAACGTCAACAAAGTATGGTAGGCGGATAGCATCGTACCAGTGGTATTTGAATGAAGAAAAGCCTATTATTGTTGTAAGCACTTGGTACTCATTCTTGATATTTTTATTGGTAGCTAAGACTTTCAAAAAGTTATTGCTCAAGTGTCGTTGGATTATGAGCTCAGTTGATGTGACAACTTCCCCTAATTTTTCTTTGATATTTCGTTAACGTTAATGCACTAGCAGTCGTCTCAAGAATATGAGCTTTGAAAAGTAACAAAAATTTAACTCTGATAGGTTGAAAAATTAGGGTCTTGCAGCCAATAAAGATCGGATGTACAATAAAATTTGCCTCTATTAGTTGTTTTCAGATTCCGGGCATGCCAGCAGAGTCTTTCTACTGGCCAGGAGGCAAACTGCAACAAGATCGAGGAGTAGTAATCTATGATGTCAATCATATGAAGGTAATTTATTGTTTTTTCAGTTATTTCGTCTAATGACATTGAATATATAAATTAGTAACTTATAGCTTCGAGATGGACCATTAGATTCAGCAATTTTGGCTGCTCGTCATGCGACCGAAAAGTCACGGAAGCCCATCAATTTTAACGATTATGATTTTATAACTGATGCTGTGAATTTACAAAAGCTCTTTGCATTTGCGCAAGAAGCTGGCGATGGACTTTTTAGAATTGATGTAGAACGAGTTGGGAAAACCGTTTTACTTAATAGGTTTTATTCACTTACCTTTTTATACTAGTACTTATTTGGTTCTGTCTTCGCAGCAGTTATAATTAAAAATTTTCTGCTCTTATTTGCTGTGAAGAAGATGAAGCCTCAGAATTTTCGATAGTGGAAACTTCTTGGACACTTGTGTTAAACCTTCTAAGCAGTCAGGTTTACGCTTTCAGGATGGAAGCGTCTGATCTGATGGAAATTGGCCACATCACTTTCGACCAGGCATTGAAAGGAAAAATGACAAAACCGCGATCTAAATATACAACAGGACCATTCTTCCAGCTTGTTGAATATCAGTTTGGTGAATTTAAAATTTTAGTGCGTTTTGAGGTTGATTGTGGAGACTTTGCAGCTGTCAAAGCAGCTAGGTTAGCTTAAACTTTTAACTCTTAAACATTCTTAATTTTATTCATAGCACTGGTAAATTAGCCGCAGTCAGTTTTATAACCGTTTTCTATAAACGAAATGAAATTTAAACTTTAAAGTAACTTCTCTTAAAAGTGACGAATTTAAGATGCTATAGATAATATAATTTTCATACAAATGATAAGGCAAAGTTTTTTACAAAGAATTATAAAAAATGATCCTTTCTCAAGTAAAACAACTTCTTTGTTAAAAAAGTTGAACAGGCAACTGTTAGACGATGCTTCTAAAATAGTAATTATTGTTCTCAGCAGAAATCCATCTTTTCTCAGATGTTTTGTTGTTATAGTCAACTTCTACTGATTTATAATTTATAATTTAATTCATAATTTTTACTAATTATAATTCAGCAGGTAACCAGTTAATTTCATTTTGCAGTGAAAAGAATGTCGAACTTGAAAATGAGCCTATGCCGGAAGTTAAAGCTTTCGAAGAGGTGCCTGGTTTATCATTCATGGAATACGGCAAAGTTCCTGTAGACTTGCCGTTGCAACTGTTGACGACTTATCCACAAGGCGCAGGATTTCCGTTCTTTACGTGGGCTCAACTTTTCTTCACTAACGCTGATCAGGTGACTGACAACCAAGATTTTTTTCTACTTTTACTGATACTTAATTAAGGAACGTCAACTGCTTTTTTTTTTTTACCTAACCGTGGGAAAGCTAAGCAGTTTCTCAGCAGCTACTACAGCAGTTTATAATTACAGGAAAAGTATTACATTTAGTACGTTAGGTATCAGGGAAAATTATTAAATGAGCAAATTTTCAGGAAATTGTTGGCTGGTTCAAAGGTAATGGAGATTTTACAAAGCCACAAATGAACTCACTTCAAGATATTTCAAGGTTGATGAAACCATTACCATATGTTGTTCTTTCAAAGGTACATGACTGTTTGGCCAAAATTGCTAAATTTATGCGTAAAAATGATCCAGAATTTAAATGTGCTTTGGTCTGGAAAGGAAAGAGTCATTTGGAGATATTTGCAAAGGACCAGGATTCTGCTGGTGCAGTTTCAGCCAAAGTTAAGGAATATTTGCTAACAATGTGTCAGGAACCGGAAGAAGCTCAAGAATGACCGGCAAAATTTTTTGGCAAAATTTTTTTCAAATTACGAATCTTTCAAATTAAGATGACATCTTTGGTCATTCCATTCAGAATTTTTTACATTTAAAGAATAAATGAAAGAGGAAACGTTAATATTAAAAAATTGATATCAATTTTATTGGAATAGCTTTAAGAAGTCTTCAAAAAAAAAAAAAAAAAAAA